ACCTCTAACTCCCTGTATAGTTGGGGTGATCTTGTAGCTTGAGTGCTGCGATGACAGGTGTGCATCGCGGTTATGGGGTGTTAAGATTGGAAGCCAGGAATGCGTGCATACTTGGCAAGCACAGAGCTGTACTAAAGAAAAAGAAAAAAATGTATCTTAGTTTGCCAGGCATAGCGGTGCACGCCTTTAATTCCAGCGCTTAGGAGGCAGAGGCAGGCAGGCAGTTCAAGGCTGCCTGATCTACAGAGCAAGTTCCAGAACAGCCAGGACTGGAAAGGACAAAGAAACCATATCTGGAAAAACAAAAACTGATTTAACCATGTATATGTGTCTGGTGTTTTTGTTTTTCGAGACAGGGTTTCTCTATGTAGCTTCGGGGCCTGTCCTGGCACTCCCTCTGTAGACCAGGCTGGCCTCGAACTCACAGAGATCTGCCTGCCTCCACCTCCCGAGTGCTGGGATTAAAGGCGTGCGCCACCAACGCCGGCCATGTCTGGTGGGTTTGAGCAGGTGACTTCAGTGCCCTCTGAGACTGAAAGAGTGCACAGTATCTCTTGGAGCTGTGTGCTGACATCCCTGGCGTGGGTTTACTTATTCCATTTGTGCTGCCCCCCAAGCCATTAACTGTGTCTTTGAGCCCATTATGTTGGCTTCTCCTAATTCTCTTGCCTCTCTTGGACACCTGCTTAGTTGCTGAAAGTTCCACTCGAAGATTATAAGAAGAAAGATGCAGTTTAATCTTCGAGGGATCCTGACAGTCTTAAGATTCCCTATGCCCCTCCAAGAAAATCTTGTCTGCTGTGAAAACCCTATGATTACCTGAGTTATGGTCCAAAAAAACTAGTGTAAAAGCCAGACAACAGGGGCTGAAGAGATGGCTCAGAGGTTTGATCTTCCAGAGGACTTGGGTTCAATTCTCAGTACCTACATGGCACCTCAAAACTGTAACTCCAGGATCCAGCAGCCTCATACAGACATACATACAGGCAAAGTATCAATATTAATAATATAATGATAAAGCTAGACAACATCAGAGGCCTGTAGTCCTCAAAGGACATTATAGTCTTGTCGGGGTTGTTTGTGTGGCTCACAGCAAATTGAAATCTACATCTGCTCACTGTTCCAGAAGATTCTTGCACACAGTATGGTATCTCCCTGCAGAACTCAGTAACTTCTCTGACAAAGCTCAGGCTTTTGTGTCTTGATTCTTCCAGCACACAGGTGCCCTAATCCTCATCCTATTGTCCTGATCCTCAAGGCAGCTGATGTCCTCAAGGCAGGGGAGTGACGCTGTCCTCTCTCCCGTGTCACATCCGGGTCCCCAACATCCTCTAGCCTCTTCATGTGTTTGTGGATGTAGTGCACACTGAAGTTATCACAAAGTCCCCATGCAACAACAACTAGCCCCACCCTCATAGCGTCTGAGGGAATATAGTTCATCTCGGTGAGTGAGCATATTTATCCTGTCTACCAAGCCTTGAGTCAGCTCACTTGGTTTCTATGGGTGTTACTTTGCTGACAACCCAGCAGAGGTTGTTTCTTACTGTTAACAAGATGTGATTCTAAATCACTATTGCCCTGGGACCTGCTGTAAAGAAGAAACTGGAGGATTTACCAAGAGTTCAAAGCTAGCCTGGACACTATAAAATCTATCTTGATTGAATGGATGTAGTAGTTTGGTAGCTGCTGTGACCTCTTGCGAAATCAATGTCAACCATCCACTTGGTACATCTAGATTGATCTGGGATGGGCCCAGATCAATCAGTCTTGCCTCTGAGCAAGACTGAGGATGATCTTATTTTTTCTTTGTTTTTCCCCAGAGCTGAGGAACCAAACCCAGGGCCTTGTATTTACTAGGCAAGCACTCTACCACTGAGCTAAATCCCCAACCCTTGAGGATGATCTTGATGGATAACTGGGTAGGAAAACATGCCCACTGTGGCTGCATCATTGCCTCAACTGAAGAGAAGCAAGCAAGCTGGGCCCCAGCATTCCTGTCTTTTGAATAAAATATTCATCCTTCAATGAGAGGAGCCCCACCATCCAGCTATAGTGCAAACAGGCTACCCCAAATTTCATAGGTTGGAAATAACCTATCTGTATATTTGAGTCTTGTAATAGTTGTGGATGAGGTCGAAGGTATTGGTCCCCCCACTTCTGAGACAAATATAGCCTAGTTTTCAAACTTGTAGCAATTCCCCTGCCTCAGCTTCCTAGCAGCTTTGAGCGAAGAGTTGTGCATGCTCTGCAGGAGAAAAAAATCCAATACTTGAGGGTGAAGGCAGGAGGATGAGGCCAGCCTGGGTTCCAGATGTCTCAAACAGAAGAGGGAGAGCACCAAGCATGGCAAACCACACCTGTGACAGGAGGACTGCTACAAAGCCCAGGCAAGCTCAGGAAGAGACCTGTGGGAAAATTCCTCTCATCATGCTACATACTGCAGGAAGGCCCTCACCAGGTTATGAGCACAGAACTACACTCTCAGACTCCCTATCCCCCGGCACATGATCCATACCGTGATTTATCAATCTCCTGGTGTGTTGGGTCATCTGTTACAGCAACAGAAACCAGATTGGGTCAGGAAACTAAAACCACACACATTGGTATAGGGATTATCCTCAGCTTGAACACTGGCTACAGTGAGTATACACCAAGAATGTTAGACTCTAGAGCCAGCAGCCCAGCTGGTGACCAATGGGATGTCTGTCTCTTGGAAAACTACAAAGCACTATACATAGAACTGAGGGAGAATAGTAACACACTATCTTTGGATTACTTTCGAAAGAAACAATGATTACAAAACAATATTCTACTAACAGTTCTTTGAGACATGGTCTCATGAAGCTCTTGGCCTCTCAAACTGTAGCCAGGGATGACCCTGAGCTTCCTGACAGATTTTGGAAATTGTCTGCTGTGTGCAGGGGTGGATCTCCCTCATTTTTTGTTTTGTTTTAATTTTTGGTTTTCAAGACAGGGTTTCTCTGTATAACAGTACTATCTGTCCTCGAACTCACTCTGAGGCTGGCCTCAGACTCAGACTCACAGAGATCCCCTTGCCTCTGCCTCCTGAGTGCTGGGATTAAAGTGAGTGCCACTACCACCCGGTCCTGTAGTTTTAAGATGTTATGTGTATGGATGTTTGCCTGCATGTGTGTCTGTATGCCACATGTGCAGTGCTCAAGAGTCCAAAAGATTCCCTTGGAACTGGAGTTACATAAGGTTGTAGCTTGCTGGGAATCAAACTCAGCTCCTTTGCAAGAGCAGCCAGTGTTCTTAACCACTGAGCCATCTCTCCAGCCTGTAACTTGTTCTTTTAAACATCCAAATATCAATAACTAGTTCTGGTTTTCTTTTCCTTTTTTTGGAGACAAGGTTTCTGTGTAACAGTTCTGGCTGTACTGGAACTCATTCTGTAGACCAGGTTGGCCTCAAACTTACAGAGATCCACCTGTCTGCCTCTAGAGTGCTGGGATCAAAGGTGCGTGCCACCTCCAGGCTAGTTGCTTTTAAAAACTTTCAAACTTAAAAATAGGCCCAGGAGATGTTGCTGCACAAGCATTTAGCCCAGAGTGATTCCAACTCCCAGGCAAAAGCTGGGTGTGGTGGCATTCAGCTGGAATCCCAGCACCTTGGAACCAGAGACAGGAGGGACCCCGTGCTTGCTGCCTGACCAACTGATCAGTCTAGACAATGAGTGCCAAGTTCAGTAAATGACCCTGACCCATAAAATAAGATGGAGACTGATAAAGAACACCTGAGGCCAACATCTGGCTTCTACACTCACATATAGGTACCCACCCCCACCTGTTTGTATCTATGGGGCTTGCTACAAAGGCATGGGGACCTGAGTTCAAACCTTCAGCACCCACCTAAAAAGCCAATGGTGGTAGTGTGCATTCATAATCCTAGTGCTGGGGGGTGGGAGTAGAAGCAGGAACCATGGGGCGTGCTGGCCCAGGTGGCAAGCATTGAGTACATTTGCTAGTTACCCTGAGGCTGAGGATCATGAATTTGAGGTCAGCCTGGGCTGCAGAGTGAGACCCTGTCTCAAAACAACAAAAGGAGAATAGCTAAGGAAACAGGCGCTCTGACTGCCTTAAGGAGTATGGCTGGACCTGGGTTCCTGCAGGAACTGATCCCGATGCAACATTAGCTGGCTGAAGCCATAGAGGTTCTCAGGGAGCCTTGATAGGAAAATTGAGTGTTTAAGGCCAGCCTCAGTTAATGTAAGTTTACAAACACACACACACACACACAGACTGTTAGACATCCAGGCATGAAAGGCAGGCAGAATTTTTTTGCCTTATATACATGTGTGGTTTGTGTATACTGTACACGTGCATGTGTCTGCATGTATAGGTGCCCATGTATATAGGAGTCTGCATTGTATTTGCACGTAGAGGCTAGAAGTTGACATCAGGTATCTTCCTTAACTGTTCTACACACATACTTAAATTTTTTTTTTTCGTTTTTCCAGACAGGGTTTCTCTGTGTGGCTTCTGAGCCTGTCCTAGAACTCACTCTGTAGATCAGGCTGGCCTCAAACTTACAGAGATCCACCTGCCTCTGCCTCCCTGAGTGCACGCCACCACTGCCCAGCACACACTTTTAAGTTTTTAAACTATTGAGAGTATTTCTGTGTGGGTGTGAACATACTGTGTGTGGCCGTCAGAGGACAGTGGGCAGGGTTAGTTCTCTCCTACCATGTGGGCCCCAGAAATGGAACTGATTGCCAAGGCTTGGCAGCAATCTCCTTTACTTAGCCTCTCACTGGTCCTCCACCTCATACATAGGGCAGAACCTCTGGCTGGATACCAGCTTGCTCCTGCCATCCCAACTCCACCTCCCTTGCACTATGGTGGTGGTGGGGCTGGAGTCCTAATTCTGGTTTCCATACCTGCCATGCAGGCATTGCCAGAGCATCTCCCTGCCTTAGATCTTCAGTCTCCTTGCATGTTGTGCTGCTGGGAGCAAAAGGAGAGCCCCTTCCTGACAAACCATTGCCAATCTCAAACCATCGTTTATTTCTGGCGAATGCCAACCAAGCACACAGCTATTCCCACAGAACAGTCTATGACATTGGAGCCTCAGGATGATGGCAATGGAAAACAAGAACATGAGTTTCCCATTTCAGACCCTGAGGCTTTGGAGTTTGGAATCTGGTTGTGAAAAGCTAACTGCCCAGAGTCTTCCTAACACACAGGGAAATTAAGTCTCAAGTACTTCTCTGCCTCAATACATCTGGCTCATCTCCTTCCCCAGAATGGTATAAAATAAGGTGCTGGGTGTGTTAGTCATTCGTCACCTCAGCACCAAGGCTGGAGGGCTGCCTCCTATCCACAGCCAACCTGGGCTACACAGGCAGACATCACCTCAAAGAGATAAATAACTAAAAGAAGCCCCACCCCGAGAATTATTTTTTTGTTTGTTTTTTTTTCGAGACAGGGTTTCTCTGTGCCTTTGGAGGCTGTCCTGGAACTAGCTCTTATAGACCAGGCTGATCTCGAACTCACAGAGATCCCCCTGCCTATGCCTCCGGAGTGCTGGGATTAAAGGCGTGTGCCACCAACGCCTGGCTGAGAATTCTAATTCTAAGCCCATTTCCCCTTCTGCAAAATGAAGGAGTTGGGGTTGAGTGGGTCAGGATAAGTGTTTTGGCCAGGCCATTTCAAAGGGTGAATGGAGAGAGCAACCTAAACTCTTATGTGAACACAATAGAGAAGTGGAATGAGGCAAAACTGGAGAGGTGAACATGGTGGTGGTGGGGTGCAAGACAGAGGGCTAATACGACTTTAAATGGGACAAGGTAAACTGTGGATCATCAAGTCTGCTCTGTTGCATGTAGCCCAGGCTGATTTCAAACTCTGCATAGCCAGAGATGACCGTGAACTCCTGCTCTTTAACTGCTTCAGCCTCCTGATTGTTGGGTAACAGGTGCACCACCCCGTTTATGTGGTGCTGAGGATGGAGCCCAGGGCTTCATGTACCCACTCAGCTGCAGCCATCTGGTCTACCTGATTGTCTCATCCATTCCAGTGTTCACACCTGCTGCCAGCCTATGAACAGAATTAAATATCCCATTTATTAATTTATAAACTGTAAGAAAAGTGAGATGGGCCTTTCCCTTCCTGACAAACCTCACATTGGAAAAGGAAAAATGCATTAATATACATATTATAGCAACATCATAGAAATCCAAAAAGACATAATTCATTCTGAGTTTAGCACAGCCAGGAACACCCACAGAGACCTCTGTAGTGCCAGGTGTCTCAATGTCTTCCCAGTGAAGAAAACCCACCAGACCACCTTACCAAGGTGCTCCTTCCCACTGCAGTGGTGGGCTCTGAACATCTGCAAACTGGCAAGCAGCCCCAATGCTGGCATTGCCAATGAACTTAACTTTAGACACAAAATTCCAATTAATCAAAAGCAGAGGGATCCAACAAACCAAGAGTTAAGAACTGGGGCACCATGACACACTTGTCAGCTCAATGCTTAGAGATGGAGACAGAGGCACAAAGAATGCTAAGAAGAATGCTAAGAGTTGAAGTTCAATCTGGGAGCCTTAATGAGGATGTCTCCAGGTGGGCATGGCGGTACAGGTTTTTAATCCCAGCACTCAGGAGGCAGGGACGGGTAGATCTCTATGAATTTGAGACCAGCATGGTCTATATTGTGAGACCCTGTCTCAAAAACAAACAAAATCCCAAACCCATAGACACCCCAAGCTAATGCCCCTGACCGCCAGAGAAAACATGTCACAACCCTTGGGTCCTACCATTTACCTGCTGTGCACATATCAGAATCCACACTTGTGCTTACCAACAGGTTCTCCTTGCGTTGCCACACTGGCCTTGAGCTCACAGGCTTGGGAGTGTCTCCTGCTTTGGCTTCCTGAGTAGCTAGGACCATAGGTGTAGGCCACTACGATGAGCCCCCAGATTTTTGGTTTCTTTTGAGACAGCCTCATTATGTAGCCTAGATTGGCTTCAAACTCATGGCCATCCTCCTTGCTCAGCCCCTGGATGTGTACCATGACGTCAGGTCCCTAAAACTGATCTTTCTCTTGAGATAGGCTCTCATGTAACCCATTTGGTCTGGAACTCACAATGTAGCTGGGGACCCTGACCTTGCTTCCAGAGTGCTTGGAAAGCAGGCCTGCACCACTATGCTACTTTCTGTAACGATGGGGACAGAAGCCACTGACGCACATATGAGGCAGGCACATACCAACCCAGCCTCAAACTGACTCTTACCTAAAAAACTAAGATTTGCCTGCTGTCCCATCCACTGGGACATAGACCAGATTCTGACCCACATGCCATCTCCTTACTGACAAGCGATGCTGTATTTGGAGTGTGAATTCCACCCTCTGCTACTGTGGATGCAGCTTCAGGATGGACTGCTCTAGCAACAAATGTCCCATATTTTGAAATGAGTCAAGATGGTTTCCACCCATTGGCTAGCCCTAGTGCAGTACCTGCCAGGACCTAGACTTCAAAGCTCCCATAGCCAACAAGATGCTCCCCAGAGAAGGTCCTGGGGATATTGCCATCACCATCACCCAGCCTTCTGTGGCATCAGAAGGGTAGAGCTACAACCAAGGTTAACACCAGATAGCCACCTCTTCTAGAGTCCAAGGAGCATTCAGGTCCGGAGTGGAGCGGTGCGTACTGTTCTGGCACCCACAAGGCAGAGGAAAGTCACAACAATGGCTGATGAACCGATGGTCACTGTAGGTTCGCCCCAGGTCAGCACTAGCTGCAAGTGGCCAACTGCCTTGGGACATCCTGGAGCTCTGTTGCTGGGGACAGGTAATGGTACCTGTGTCAGCCTTCCATACCTCTGGGCTACAGCCTTGCTGTCCTCACCTTGATGGCCCAGATCCCACTTCCTGCTGACTGCAGCCACCGTGAGGCTAGTTCTGTAGAGTGGGTCCCTGTTGTCACCAGAAGTTCAGATCAGACCTCTGCAGTGAACTGGGAGCACCCCTGTGTACCAATGCAGAGTGTGTTCTCTGAGCAGAAGCATGAACCAGGATTTCTCTGTGGCTCTCCCTCTGCCCAGTGCCTGTCCATATTGTGGTCATGCCCCACAGTCCATCAGGATCCAAGGCTCCACTGCTGGCTTGCCATGTGCTCAGCTGCTGGGCTTGGGGAGGAGGTGCAGGAAGCCTGGCCTGGTGGGCCCCTACACATCATGGCGACTGAGGGCATAGGAGTTCAGATGGCTCTGGCGGCCATACTGGAAATGGTCTGTGAGGAGAATGTTGCGGTACTGGAAGTCACCTTGCTGGGGAAACAGTGCACCATTGTGGGGCTTCTCCACTGGGCTCCGCAGGTGCTCTCTGCTGCTCAGGTCTGATGTAGACACTGGGAGTAGGTGGCGCCGAGCCTGCTGGTTTGCATCGTACTTGGTCTGTGTGAAGAGAGCAAAGAAGCACAAGGGAATTTTGGCTGTGTGTGGAGGCATGTCACCCTAGCACTAAGGAGGCAGAAAGAGGGCAGGAGTATTAGGCCAGCATATGCTACATAGTGAGTTTGAGGCCAATCTGAGCTACAAGATGCTCTGTTTCAAAAAAATCAAACCAAAAACAAAGAAAAGAATACCACTACCAAAGAGGCCACCCCAAAGCCAAGGACTAGCGATGCTTCTGTGGTAGGGTACTTGTCTAGCATGCAAAACCCTGGGCTCCATCCCCAGCACTACATAAACCAAGCGGAACCTGTCACTCCACTCCCTCCAGAAGTGGAGGCAGGGGGTCAGAAGCTCAAGGCCTTTCTGGGCTACACAAGGCACTGCTCCAAAAACAAATAATAAGACACAAAGGAAAGGGGCTAGAGAGCTCTTCCAGAGGACTGGGGTTCAATTCCCAGCACACACATGGCAGCTCACAACTGTCTGTAACTCCAAGATCTGACACCCTTACAGTGACATACATGCAGGCAAAACAACAATGTACATAAAATAAGAATAAATTGAAATAAAGAAAAAGACACAGAGGAAGATTCAGCACACATGACCCCAGCTGAGGGACAGAGGCAGGAGAACAGTGAGCTCTAGGGCAGCTTGTGCTCACAATCCTGCTGCCATGTTGTTCTGCTCAGCACACAGAAGTCACCAGAGCCAAAATCACCCTCCCTCGGCTCCTTCTGGAGGCCCCCAATGCTCACCTTGTTGTACAGAAAGACGCCAAGGATGGCAGTCATCATGCCCAGCACATTGGTGCTGGTCACTGGATTACGCAGCATGATGAGGGACACAGTGATGACCATGATCCTCTTGGTGGCATTAGCCACTGAGTAGCTGAGTGGACTGATGAGATTAAGGATGCTAAAGGCGATGACATTCTGTGCAAAGTTGCAGAATCCGCTGACCGCTAAGAGCAGCAGTGTCCAGGGCCACTGAGACACATAGGCCTGTGGAGACAGGCAGGGAGCATCAGTGGGGGAGGGGCACATATGTACTTAGGCAGGCTGTCACTGAGGAGCAGCTGGTTAGGTTTTTTTTGAAACAGAATCTCACATGGCCCAGGTTTGCCTCAAACTGGTGGGTGACAGGTTTGGCAACAAGTGCCTTTTGCCCACTGAGCCGTTTTATCAGTTTAGATGATGCTTTATACATATGACCTCTGACTCTCCTAACCACCCCACTGCATGGTGCAGTGGTCTAGAGCCACCTCTGGTCAGAGCTGCAAAAACAGCCACCAAAACATTGCAGAAATGGTTCATCAGTTAAGAGTACTGGCTGTTCTCCTGGAGGATCCAGATTAGATTACCAGCACCCACACGGAGGATCACAATACCAGTCCAGGGGATCACATGCCCTGTTTCGGACTCCGAGGGCACATACAGGCATGCATGCTGTATGTGGACATACATGCAGAAAAGACACCCACAACATTTAGTAATTTTTCTTAGCTGGTGGCACATGCCTTTAATCCCAGAGACAGACAGATCTCTGTGAGTTCAAGGCCAGCCTGGTCTACAGAGTGAGTTCCAGGACAGGCTCCAAAGCTATAGAGAAACCCTGTCTTGAAAAAGAAAAGAAATCAGGCGGATCTCTGTGAGTTCGAGACCAGCCTGTCTACAAGAGCTAGTTCCAGGACGGCCTCCAAATCTACACAGAGAAAACAAACAAACAAACAAACAAACAAAAAACAAAAAAAAAAAAGAAAAGAAATAAAAATTTTTCTTTACAAGGTGTAAAATGTGTGTGTGTCAGAGTGCCACTTGCTCCAGGAATCCCACTCCTGCCTCCTGGTACTTAAATTCTGTCCTTGCCACTGCATGACAAGCACTTTCCCCACTGAGCTGTCTTTACAGCTCCAAAACATTTTGTAAAGTTGGAGCACAGATAGAGCTTGGTGGCAGAGCATGTATTAAGTATTAAACAGAAGTGAGTATCAAACCAGACAAACCCAAGGAGATGGGTGACAGAGCCCCAGAGCCCACCACTCATCCTCAGACAGGTACCGGGAGAACACAACAGCCCAGCTAAGACACTGGGCAGTCCCGGGCATCAGTCTCCTTAGACGGCCTCACATCCACCCTCCTGCCCTGCTGCCAGGTCCCAACCATCCTATGGTGGCCACAAGTCCCAGCTGGCCCCTCTCTGGACATGGTGGTTAGCAGGCATGCTAACGGGCCACCAAGGGAAGGAAGACTCACAAGAGTGACCCACAAAGTCAACCAAACCACACTGTGCTTCCAATCCAGGCATGGTAGGCATACTTTCTCATCTAGCAAGCAGGAGGTAGACACAGGAGTTTGAAGTCATGCTGGGCCACATAATATAGGAAATAGATCCTGCCTCAAAAAACAGCAAAGGTGGGCTAGGGAGACAGACAGCTCAGTCAGGTAAGTGTTCAAGTTCAGAGCTCAACCCCCATGTGAAAACAAAAACAAAAACACGCAGCTGCACATCTGCAGAGTCTCACTGCAGAGAGGCAGGAAGCTCTCGGACAGAAGTGGGGGATCTTGAGGCTTGGCAGGCAGCCAGTCAGTGAGGTCCTACCTCAAAAAGACAAGGGGAGCCACACTGAGGAAGATGCAGGGGGTGACTGTTCTTCACACAAGGCGCACTGCTAGTGCATGCATGCGCACACCAACACACACACACCCATCCACCCACCCAAAGGGAAGAGAAGGAAAACTGCAAGGAGCAGAAACTGGATGAACTTTCTCTTCCAGTAACAAAGCTTCCTCGGGGATGGGAATTGCTACACCCAAGTCAAGAGCCCCACGGCACTGGCTGGGGTTGCCCTGGCAGGAAGGACTTCAGCCTTACAGACATTTGTGCTGGGACAGAGTGGCCAGCCTAGGGCAAAAAGGTGCTCAGCAGAGGTGATAGCTTCTTTGCAGACAGAACCACAACAGGGGCCTTCCTTAATAGCTTCCTGACAAATGCCCTTCCGGACTACTCTGCACTCACCCCCCTTAAACCTGGCAACCGCAATGGTAGTTTGTCTTTAGCAGACTGCTATGTAATAAACAGAACCACACAACAGACCCATGCCTTTTCCATTCAGTCTGTCATTGGTCTGGACTGTGAGAGGCAAGAGGGCATTTTTCACTGCTGGGTAATATTCCATTTTGTGAACACAGCAGCTTTTCTTCATCTGTTAAAAGCTATTTCCAGTTCCAAGTAAAAACAAGAATTGATATAAACATTCACAGGCTATCACTATGCAGCCCAGGCTTCTCTCACACTCTCTCAATCTTCCTGCATTATTACACCGAACTAGACAATTTCTACTGACTGATCTTCACGTTACGGACTTTTCCCACTGTCACCACTACAGTCTGGAGGTCTCCCTCCCATTCGATCCCTCTTTTCCTTTTTAACTGAAGTAAAACCACATCACTTCTCCTATTCCTTTCCTCCTGCCAGCCCCCATCACACCAAGCTGACAGCCTTCACTTTATCATTGTTACATACATGCATTCATGAACACACCGACTACAACCTGCTGAGCCTGATTTGTGGTCTGTGTGTTTGGTTTCCGAGCTGACCACTCTGCATTGGACAACCAGTGAGGGTCCTCATGCCTGGGAGAGGCTAATTCTCCCTCTCCCTGGTCATTAGTTGCCTGTAGTTCTTTGTCTAGGGGTGGACCCTGTGAGATTTTCTCCCTTTCAGATGGGCATGTCCACTGGTATTGTCCCTGTCTTGCTTATGCAGCCGTTCCTAGGGACACCACTTCACAGCCGACTTCCTGGCTCTTACAGATGTCCCTGAGCCATGGGAAAACACAGAGCTGTGATGAGAACGTACCCACTGGGGCTGTGTCCCACATTTGCCGATGTCACCACTGTCCAGTTGTGGCTCTCTGTGACAGGCTCCACTGGGCGTGAAGAGGCCTCTGTCTCGAGGGGGAGCTGCAATCATCCAGGAAGGGAGGCTCAGCACAGAGGATACAGAACTATCTCTTTCCTCGAGACAGTCTTATGTAGCCCAGGCTGTCCTCAAACTTGCTGTGTAGCCAAGGATGACTCTGAATTTCTGCTCCTCTTGTCTCTATCTCCTGAGTGCTAAGATAAGAGGTGAGTGCCCTCTTGTCTTCTGTGTACTGCTGGGTAGAGCCTGGGCCTTGAGGGGGTCAGGGCAAGCACTGTCCTGGCCATAGCCAGCCCTGAGTCACAGTTATTGCATGGGAATCAAGATTCACTAGACTCAGTACAGGTTAACTGATGTTTATTTGGGGAGAATGCACTTACACAAGACGTGGTTACTGGCACAGGTTCCAGTTCCAAGGATCCTCCTAGGCTGTTCCATGTGACCCACCCAGAAGCAAGAGAAAGCTCTGGGGTCTGGGACCCCAGATCTAGTCCTCTCCTTCACCACATCCTCACCTGTGACGACGCGTGGTCAGTGCTATAGATATGGGCGGGATGGATATCTCATTACACACAGTTCTGGACATGTAATTTAGAAGCTGTTGACTTTTGCAAGAGATTCTTGTAGCAGGGGTGATTTCATTGACGAAGCAGAGTGGAAGAGGAAGAGAGAGGTCCCCCCACCAAGGACATGTCCCAATTCCTCACTTCCTCCTACTAAGTTGTGCCTCCACCAGGTCCCACCACCTCTAACTGCTTTTAGCAGGGATCCTTCCTGGCTGGTGGGATGCAGACTGCGCATCGCCACACTAGAAAGAGCATGTGAGTACATGAGAGTGTGGATGCGCGTGGGTGTACATGTGCACGAGTGTGTGTGCTTGCATGTACTGGAATGTGTACTCAGACTGCAATGGGGCCAGCCTCTCCTTCCCAGTTCCTATAGCTGTTCACAGGGTTTTGGGTTTTAGTCCATTTGGATTTAGATTTTTTAATTAAGGACACTTAATTGCAATACAAGTGCAAACCCCTTGTGAACAGCCATGCCAGTAGTCTTCACAAAGTGACATCATCTGGGGTTTCTCAGCACAGTCACCAAGCACCAGGGCCAAGAATGCATACAGAAACCCAGAAACTCTGAGCCAAGACAAACCTCCTCTCCTCACAGTCATCAATCCCCTCAGGAGCTGCCACCTCCTCTCCTCACAGCAATCAATCCCCTCAGGAGCTGTCACCTCCTCTCCCCACAGCCATCAATCACCTCAGGAGCTGTCACCTCCTCTCCCCAAGCCAATCAATCACCTCAGGCACTTTGTCTGTCAGTGATGGACAACAGAAGTCCTGGCTCTCAGGCTCTTGTTTAGAGATTGACTCCTCCCTCCCACAGATGTTCCTTTCACTCTCATGCAGTGTCACAGGATGCCCATGCTGGACCTTCAGTCTCCAGACCTGAGACCTAAAGATTCCTATTTAGATTTTTATAAGCCAGCCTGCCTCAGGTATTCTGTTACAGGGACAAAAAATAGACCAGCACAGATAGATGGCCAGTGAATGCCCCAGGACAAACACCTTTGTTGGCCAGTTACAGTGCCCAACAAAGCACATGCTTAGAAAGCTTGTGAAGGCACAATCTCAGCAGCCCCAACTCACCAGGTCGCTGCTGACCAGGAAAGTAGAGAGGTCCACCAGGACCCACGTGGGGATCATGAAGAACACGGCGTGGCAGCCTAGGATGTTGAGCAGCCGCAGGTGGTGGATCCGAGAGTCCCTCAACACCTGAGGGGAGAGAGCCTCAATAGAGCCATTGACAGTCGACTAGCAGCAAGGCCTGGTTTCCAGTCCCCAACATGAGATGGGAATCTGACATCCAGCCCTGGGTATCAGACCGGCTTGCCTGTTTACAAAGGAGCATGGTTATGCCTGAACAAAGTGCTCTGTCCTGTGGAGAAGGGGCTGACAGTGGAATAACAGAACCTACTCAGTCCCCCCCCCCCCCCCCACTTCCCACCTTCATCTCACAAATGCTCGTCACAGGCAGGGACCACCATGCCTGGCTGATAACCCTCTGAACTGAATCCAGATTGGTTTAGCCTGTTGAGCACTACCAGGCAATGGCAGGCAAAAGCTAGAACAGATCCTACTCCAGACCACAGACCTCAAGTCTATCACGGGATGCCCTAGCCTAAGCAGCTAGCAAGAGGTTCGTAGATCTATTTCTTAGGACAAGTTGGAAATAAGCCACATTACTAAAAAGGGGACCCACTGAGCTGAAAGTGGCACCCAGCAGCCCTGAGCTTTCAGTCACTACTGAGCTTTGCAGCAGGGTGACGCCACACAGTAACAGTGGATGAGCACGGCCACACAAGATGGGGTCAGTGAACACAACTCAGAGGAAGAGCACGCTTACTATACAAAAGTCCTCCGAAAGAAAAGGCGGGGCTGGGGAGACGGCTCAGGAACGAGGACCCAAGTTCAGATCTCTAGTACCCACAGAGAAGTTGGCCACAGTGTCAATTGTATGTAAAGCAAGCACTTGGTGATGAAAACTGCAGGCAACTCCCAGGGACTCATGGGACAAAATGGGGCGGGGTGTGCGTGTGCGTGTGCTCGGCAAGTTTAGTGGGAAATGATGTAAAGGGTTGGCAAGATGGGACAGTGGGTAAAGGCTTGCCACCAAACCTGAGTTCAATGAACAGGTCTCACACAGAGGGAGAACTGACTGCCGCAGGTGTCCTTGCACATACGCATCAAGTTTCTTTTACAAGAACACTTGTAAAAGAAAAGGAGCAAGAGAGATTAGCAGAATAGGTTAGGGTTAAGGTTGGCTTTCAAAACAACAAGGGACAGAAACTCAAGGAGACAGAAGGCACAGAAGGGTCTGCTCTGGCCAGTCTGTTTGAGGCCAGCACCCTCAGGCAACCAGCACCAGGGGTAGGAGCCACACACCTTTTTGGAGAAGATGTTCTGAAGGGAGAAGCACAGCGTGGCTGCCAGGGCGCTGACCAGCCCCCACACGTCAAAGGACAGTTCTGTGACAGTGGCCAGCAGGACTCCGCTGATGATGGGGACCAGTGACAGGTACACCTGCAGGAGGGCAGAGGGGCTCAGGTGGGCCCACCACCCAGAACTTTGGGAAACCTCGGGTGGCCCTGTCCCTCACCTGGGGGATACCATCTTACACCCTGGAAAATGCCACCCGCACCTCAAATGGTGCTGCCATGTCCAGCATCCTGGCACTCAGAAAGCTGAGGCAGGAGGATCACCATGAGTCTCAGGTCTGGGGCTGGTGAGATGGCTGAAAGAGAAAGGCACCTGCCACTGAGCCTGACAACCTGAGCTTGATGTCCAAGACCCACATGGTGGAAGGAGAGAAATGACTCTCCCAAATGCTATCTTGTAACCCCCACACACAGACAAGCAAATACATGAATAAATAGAAAAAAGTCTGAGGCTAATCTAGGCTTCTTTCAAATCCTATCTCAAAAAAAAACCAAAAAAAAACCAAAAAAAAAAAAAAAAACAAAAACCAAAACCAAAAAACTCAACAAGGTAGAAAACTGGTGGAAGCTGGACGTTGGTGGCTCACGCCTTTAATCTCAGCAGTTGGGAGGCAGAGGCAGGCAAGATCTCTTGTGAGTTTGAGACCAGTCGGGTCTACAAAGCTACACAGAGAAACCCTGTCTCGAAAAACCAAAAAAAAAAAAAAAAAAAAGAAAGAAAGAAAGAAAGAAAACCATATGGATTTCCAGGGAGACTTTTGTATCAAAAAAGGAATCAAGGGCCCAGTTACTTGGCTCAGTAGGTAAAGGCCCCCAAATCTGAGTTTGTTCTCCAGGACTCCTTGTGGACAGCAAGAACCAACTCCTTTGAGTTGTCCTCTCATCTGTGTGTACTCACGTCCCCACCCCCACCAAAAAAAAAAAAAAACCAAACAAACCCAAAAAACTAAAAACAAATCAAAACCGGTAAGGTTTTTAGGTGCAAGAGGGTTCTGTACCCAAGGAAGTGGCCATTGGGACCTGAATGCCTGCCCCAGCACTCCTGGCCACAGTCTTCTTTCCCTGTCAGCATTCCACATCTTCCCTTGAGAACAGGGATTCAGGGGTCTGAGTTATCTGCCTTGCAGAGCATGTTCCTGCCAAAGAGGGCCAGTTTCCAAGTACGGCACTTGTGAGGTTCTTGGCATCTTGCTGAGCCAGGTATAATGTCCCGTGTGATAAGGAAAACTGATAAACACAAGGTGTGCTATCAGGTGACACACCTGGCTGCCTCCCCAGAAACTCTGACCCCCAGGAGGCCAACCCTATCTGACATCACACTGATGGGAGGGCACAGCCAAAGGTGGCCCTGTTTATAAATGACATATATAGAAAGTGAGCATTCCTAGAACAGGGTGAGATGGCTTCCAGCTGGGACACTGGCATCCTCACTGCAATGAAGGACACAGTGAGCCCAGTTCTTGCTCTCTAGCCTCAGACCAGGAAAACACCCTGACCTGGCATCTTCCCCAGGCAGCCCTGAGCCCTGAGCGCTGTCTGTGATCCACATGTAGATAATCAAAATCTCGGTTTAAAACAGGCGTCAAAACCCAGGCCTGCTGAGCTACAACCTTTTTCTTTCGTTTTGTTTTTTTGAGACAGGATCTCTATACAGAGTCCTGGAACTCGCTCTGGAACCAGGCTGGCCTCAAACTCCTAGATGAAGAGGATGATGATGATGGTGATGATGATGATGAGGAGGAGGAGGAGGAGGAGGAGGAGGAGGAGGAGGAGGAGGAGGAGAAGGAAAGCCTGTCCCGAGTAGGAGGAAAGACTGTCCCAACTTAATGTGTTTCTTGGTGACTTGCCAAAACAGGGACAAACAGACATCACCTACCAGCAAGCCAAGGTGGGGAAATCAAAACAGAAAGGAAGAGTGGACCCCAGAGGGATTGTGGCGCTCGGGGACAACAAGCGAGAGATTATCTGGGGACATCTCCCCTTCACACACACCTGCTGTCAGGAAGGTGAGTGCGGGACAGTAGGAAAGGCCCAGGAGGCCAACACCTTGACTTCCTTATTTGACAGGAAGCCAGAGGAATGCCACGGTCCAACCACGTCACCAACCGGGTCAGCTACCGGGAATCCCGCCCGGCCCGGGGCTTCTGCCAGGGTTACCTTGGTGCTCTGTTTTTCCTTCATGATGATCCGGGACAGGAGGACCACCCAGATGGGCATGGTGGCCTTGACTGAAAGAGAGGAAAGGCACTCAGCAGGCAGTCCCGGCAGCCTGCACACGCGACGCCAGACCTCCTCTTTCTGTGAGGCTCCCTCCCGACCCCAACAGCCGGAGTCAGTTCTGCTCGGCGCTCGGTTAAGTCCTCATCTTTCAGCCCGAGACTCCGCCGCGCCCTGGCAGCTTCTCGGCCTGGCGGCCCCCATACTCCTACCCATACTTGGAAGCCAGCCCCCGGCGGCGCGCCCCGGCCCGCGCCCGCACCTACCGGTGTGTGCGTAGGACACCGGCACCTTCCAGATGCTGACGTGCGCCGACACCGACGCGAAGTACTTGCCGAAGGCGAGAGGCAGCACGTAGCGCGGGTAGAA